AATTTGTGATCAAAATTAAAATATTGACTATGGAGAGTCAAATAAGAAAAAAAATGGTGGATGGAGGAAGTACTCTCTATTTCTCACATTTTAATCATTAAAAAGTCTTTTACATTATAGTATCTGTTAATATATATTTTCACAACATAGAAGACATGCTCTCTCTACTCACAAAACACTTCATATTATCTTTTTTGGGACATTTAAAAAAAACTTTTTCTCTGCTTATTTAGAAACTTTTTTTGTGCATCAACATCTTTCTTTCTCCTATGCATCCTTTCGGAACTAGGGCCATAATATGCTTAAGGTGCACCAAAGAAACACTCTCGAGTGTGGTGGTTCCAAGGAAAGGCAATGATGATTTCTGAGGGTGATGATGGTAGAGATGATTTGGCGGCTGGGTGATGTGCTCGAGGAAGGTTGGTTGGATCCAAATAGTGTTGTGTTTTTTGTGTTTAAGTTAGTGTTTCTCTGTGCTTATAAGCTGGTCAAAATTACTTATAAATACTCCGTAGTTTTTAACTTATAAGTCAGCTGATGACATGTACTTGTGTGATTACAAGCTGAGTTATAAGCTGTTTATAATCCAGAAAAAATAAATAGTTCTTGGCTACTTATTTTTAACTCACTTTTTTCATCTTTCCATTTTGACCAGATTATTTACAAAACAATCCCTCATCACACATGAATATTTAAAAATGACTATTACATCATTTAAGTCATTTTATTTTTACGAAAAATGTTTGACTTATAAGGAGCTTATAAGTTAAAAATTACTTATGACCCTACATTGGGAAATAAAAACATATGGTACTATATTAAGAAAGTCATTATGTTTTAGTTCTATTTAGGTAAATTACTCTATTATTAATCACCTTTACAAAAACACCTGGGTACATACGTTGTTGTTGTTTTACCTTAACAAAAAGAGAAATATACTCCCTATATACATTTCCCTATATCCCAATTCAAATATGACATATTTTAATTTATAATGTTTGACTAAAGCTATTTTTAAATAACGAATATATGAGTATATATTAAAAATTTCCATATAAATTAAAAGCATTGTACAATGTATTGATACGATTATACTACGTATAATGTGAACTTTCAAATAACTCTCCATTTTACCTGTTTCGATTATTAATAATTTGGATTCGGGCATGGCAAAATTAAATGGAAATTAAAAAGTGAAATTTGCACTGAATAAGATTAAAATATAAGTCATTTTTAAATTAGGACTTAAAGTTTTTTATTATTCCTTAAATAGTAGTTAATAATGTCTAGAAGCTGAATAATTTCGAGTGATGGTGGACATTAACTTGAAAAATGACTAATAGATAGTGGCCAATGGTCCTACATTGGAAAATAAAAACATTTGGTCCTATATTGAGAAAATCCTAAATTGGATCATGACTAATGGTCTTATCTTAAAAAATAAAAACATATAGTCCTTTAAATTCCCCAATTAATAAATTATACCCCTCCCTAATTAAACTTAACAAAGAAAGAAATGAATACTTCCTCCGTTTCAGAGTATTCGTCCACTTTTGATTTTTTTGGTCAAAATTGATAAAGTTTGACCTCAAATTTAAAAAAATGATATTAGATATTGATACAAAATTAGTTTTATTTCATTTATTATGTCAAATATTTTTAAAACATCATTTTATCTAATTAATATACAATATATATTTTATTTAATTGTAAGTCAAAGGTTAAAAACTGTTGATCGAAAAAAAGTCAAAACTGGACAAATACTCGGAGACGGAGGTAGTACATAAATAGAAAAGGATGAGCCTCTCCAAATCCGATAGGATGTTCACTGAAAAAAATTAAATTAGACTTTAATTATTGATGGATGGAGTGAGTGAAGTTTCGAGGTGATACTTGAAATGAACATGATCAACATTCATTACAAAAACAAGCCAAAACAAACAAACTCAAAACACACACAAAAAAAAAGAGTCATGAACTAACACGCGCGCGCGTTCACTGCTGGAGGCCGGGGAACGAAAAAAAATGTTACCCGCGCACCGGTGGTTGTCCCTTATTGTGTGGTTTGGTAGGCCCAGATCCCGGACTACCCCCTTTGCCGAGAAGGTTCAGCCACAAACTTCTCGGCAAAACGCGCTTTCCGGCCGCCACCGCCGCCGCCTTTGGACGCAGTACAACTAGTGTTGGTGGTGTTCTTCCTGGCCTAGCTGCGAAGCTCGGAACGATGACAAGAAAGAGAACCAGACAAACTGCCAAAGCCAAACCACGCCGCCATGTTGCACGTAACGTCGCCATTTTAGTTTACAAGTACTCAACGGCTAGATCCAGAGGTTAATTAAGGTTAACTCTATATATTTTGTATATGAAGATATAGAAGAGGTTTGCTAGGTTTAAGCTATATAATACTCCCTCCGTTCCACAAAACCCTTCCGGTTTTGACTTTGGAGAAAAATAAGGAAACTGTAATTTTGGTTGACTTTCTAATTTTGCCCCTGATGTGATGGGAAAAAGTAAGATGGGATAGTTTGGTTATTAGTGAAAAAGTATGATATGATAGGTAGGGTATGAAAAAATAAGAGTAAAGTGATTTTTTAATAAAAAATGGAAGTGTTTTGTGGAAAGCAAAAAAAATGAAAGAGAAAGGGTTTTGTGGAAGGGAGGGAGTATATGTGTGTGTAGCTAGGCATGCATATTAATGTGAAACTAATTTCAATATAATCCATAAAGACCTTTTTTTAAGGAAAAGGACTCGAACTTGATTAAGCAATGTTGAAAATAAATTAGGGGGACATCTCAGTACAAATTAAATAACCAGCTTTAGTTTGCTGGCAATTACGCTAATTAATTAACAGATTAAGAGCCTGTTTGGGAATAGAATTAGAAATTAGCGTTAGCGTTTTGGATAAAATTTTAACGGTGCAGATTAATTTGAAAACGCTAACGCTAAACGCTGCCCGTAGATAGCTTTTTGAAAACGATAACGCTAATCTCTAACGCTATTCCCAAACAGGCCCTAAAACTTCATCACTCTTTTTCAAACACTCATTCTCTCTCTTAAACTCTTTTTCCTTTATTTTTTTTCTTGTTTACAAACTCCTTTATCTATTAAAAAACTATTTTTATCTCGACTAATTCTCACCATACATATCATATCATACTATTTTACTAATAATATATTCATCATATTCTACTTTTATCCATCATATCAAAGACATTTTTGGAATTCAACACAAAAATAACCCTCTCTTAAATTCTCAAAAGTCTATAAAAGATGAACTTTAGGGGACGGAGTAAGATTGTATGTAATTAAAAAACTTATTATGGAGTAAGATTGTGTTTAATTAACATTGAAGTTAAAATGTTCAATAAAATGAAAATAAATATGACTTCCACAAAAATGACCGAATACTACCTCCGTCCCAAAAAGATTTACACGTTTTGACTAAAGTTAAAATTAAGGGATGAAAAATTTTGTGTTGACTTTCCAAAAATACCCTTGATGTGATGGGTAAAAGTAAGATGTGATGTGTAAATTATTAGAAAAAGGTATGGTGTGATATGAAGGGTTTGAAAAAGTAAGGGGTAAAAGTGATTTTTTAATAGAAATGGGTAGGAGATTGTGGGACGCAATTTTTTTGAAAGGTGTTGATGGTGTAAATTACCACGCAAATACTAAGTGTAAGTAATCGGAAGGGTTGTAGGTGGAAACACCTCTAACCCGATTTGTTATTAATGATAATAGGAGTTATTACAAATACAAGCCGTGTAGGTTAATTAAAGCATGCCTCACAAATGAGGCTTTTAGGGGTATTTATAATAATCCCAAGCATATTGTATGGAAAATAATTTCAATCAAAAGTTGCATACTCTTAGTAAAAGTTTTTTTAGAAAGATAGAGTAAGTTCAAAATATGTGTATATAAATTTTAAGTTTTTCATGTTACATCATTATCTAAATAAATTAAGTTAAAATAGCTTTAATGCTTTGATATACAGATATTTTTAAATATATTAATTTTATTTTTTAATTTTATACTAATATTTATATAAATTAATTTGGTTTAAACGTCAATTCGCTAGTAACCACAATTGGAAAATATTTTGAATGGAGTAGCATTTATTAGCGAGTAAATAAATGCTTTGTTCTTTTATTTGTTTGATCGTATTATTTTCATTTACCATTTTTAACTTTGCTCACAATTATATTTATTTTCCTTTTTTGATGGAATCTATCCCTCTATTCTTTTTTCCAATTTATCATGGAGCTTGATGGTGTAAATTACCACGTAAATACTAAGTATGAGTAATCGGAAGGGTTGTAGGTGGAAACACCTGTAACCCGATTTGTTATTAATGATATTAGGAGTTATAACAAATACAAGCCGTGTAGGTTCATTAAAGCCTCTCCTCACAAATGAGGCTTTTAGGGGTATTTATAATAATTCCAAGCACGTCAAGCACGTCTCTGATTATCCAACCGGTCAGGCGGCTGACCGGCCCACCAGGTGCACTTTGAAAGTAGATCTTCGGGGATTGGCGTCTGGTCTCCCCATCCATCCGGTCAAATAACCCGGTCTGAGAAAGACGTGTGCTGTTCGGTGAACCATCCGGGTGGTATCCTTGGGTTATTACCCATCAAAGAGTCCTCCGATTCCCGGTTCTGTGGGGACCATCAGGGGCGGGAAGCACATGCGATCATTTCCCGGAATTTGAACTGCCCAGTCGCTTTTTGGCGGGAAAATCGTCTCGGAAAACCAGCGCCAACCCAAAATATTTGAAATTTGAAATTTGAATTTCAAATCCCAAAAAACTGGGTGTCCAAAGCGGGAGAATCTTCTCGAAGTCGGGTACGGAGCCGCCGTTTTATTGTGCCGTTTCGTCTCCCCGAGAAGTTATGATGGCAAAACATTTCAACTGCCACATGTCATTTCTTCGTTTGTCCGTTTGGGCGGCCTCTCTCCTATATAAAGCGATGTCCTCCTTAGGATTTCTTCACTTGCAAATCTTCGATTTAAAAAACCGCCCGACTGCTTCTACTACTTCCGAGTCCTTCGAGTCCTCTTATTCCAAGTAAGTCTCTTTCTTTCTTCTTCCTCGAGTCATGTCTGACCACGAAGACAGCCAGAACCCTTCCGCCCATTCTTACGGTTCTGGTGACCGGGCTCAGACCTCCGGTTCCTCTTCTTCTTCATCCTCTGATTCTGAGCGCCCGGCTACTTCTCCACAGAAGAAGCCGGTTGATGCTTCCACTTGTGCTCCTTCTTCTTCCGTGGCGCAAGTGATCTCGGTTGCCCAACCTGGGGATGAGGGCTTCGTTCTGCTGAACGACCGGTTGCTTCAAACGCAATCATCGGTCATGCAGAAGGCCCATGTCCACGAGGTGCGCAACCTGATGCCGGACGGGTACCAATTAACTTACCGGGCAACGTGGAAGAGCATTATTCCTCTCCACGCCGGTACGTCGATTGGTATCCATTACCACTCAATCAAGAACCTGGGCGAATTCTCCATTCACCTATTCAAAGTCCTTTTCCTTGAAACATACGGTATCATGCCCGGGCAGCTGGCCCCTAATGGTCACCGTTTGTTGGGCAGCTTCATCAATGTCTGTCGGTTCCTTCGTATTCCTCCTTCCCTCCGTCTCTTTGACCACATGTTCGATGTCCGGCCCGGGTCCAAGGAGACCCTTGGATTCGTGGTGGTGTCTTCTCACCAAGGTCGGGCATTTCTCTGTGGCCTTCCTCCCTCCAACAAGAGGTGGAAGGACAAATACATCTGCATCAAATTCCCCCCGGCTGCCTTTCCTTTTTCCCAAAACGTCTGGGGGAAAAGAATGAAGCACCAGGTCAAACCAACAGAGGCCGATGACCTGGTTGCCTGGGAAACCACTCTCCGGGCCGGGGATGCCTCCACCCGCGGTCTTTACCATGTCGGGAAGTGGAGCGTCTACCCCGGCCGGGAGACTGACCCTGAGCCGGAGATTGTCCTGACTGGGGTGATCCCCGAAGCCATCCCCATCAGCCGGGCGAAGGGATCCAAAGCCCTGGCCACAGCCACCGCCGGTCCTTCACGCCCGGAGAAGAAGAAGGAGGAGAAAGGTCAATCAACTACCCTTATTTTCCTTCCATTTTTTCTTTTTTATATCTCTGTTCTTCTAACCGGTTTCTTTTCTTGCAGTGGTGAAGTTCCAGTCGAAATTTGTCATCCCCCAGATCGTGGTTGAGGACCCCTCCACTGCTCGGCCACTCAACCCCCCAACCAGCCAGCCTCTCTCTCTGGAGGAGCAGCCGGCCCAATCCCACCAAGGGACCAGCCAGCCCATACATTCGGGGGAGCTCTACATCAATGTAGATACCCTGGAGTTCGATAACATGATGGGGGAAACCGGCCATGCCTCTCAACCCCATGAGGATGATGGCGAAGAAGAGGCTGCTGGAGAGTCCCTTCAGCGGAAGAGGCGGAAGACCGAGGAGGTCAACCAGCCATCTCATCAGGGGCCCCAGTCCTCCGACGCTGGCAAGGGACCCATCGTGCCTCGATCTGTGGCACTGATGTCCCGGTCGGACGAAGAACTTTTCCAAGCTTTTCGTGCTGACCTGAGTGAGGTAATCTCTCTTTTTTTTTAACCGTTTTCTTATTGCCTCTGCCATGTTTCTAAAATTTTTCATGTGTTTAAAGCAGGTCGGCCGGATCGGTGAAGAGTACTTTGCCCGGCTGGTGAAGTCAAAAGATGAGGAGAAGGCCCGGATGGAGGCCATGCTGGTCGAATGCAGGAAGGATGCCCAGGCTGCCCGCGCCCATGCGGAGAAGATGGAGGCCAAATGGGTAGAGCACTGCGCGGTCTACCGCCAACTCTACGCCAAGCACGACGGACTTCTAAAGGTCGCGAAAGATGCTGATGACCAAGCCCAGGCCAAGATCCAGCTCCTGGAGGCTGAAAATGCTCGGTCGGCTGAGGAGATCGCCCGACTTGGAGATGAGCTGGAAAAAGAGCGCTCAGAAAGGGCTTCTCTGGCTGCGGCATGGGCTGTTCAGGCGCCTGAGGAGTTTACTGCCCAAGCGCTTCCTGACCGGGAGACCGCCATCCACTTCTTCCAAGGCCTGTACAAGCACAAGGTGTCGGCCGGGATCGTGGATGAGATCGGCACCTTTGGTTACGAGAGCGGTCAGTACACGGAGCGGCGGGCCCTCTATGGCATCCTTGAGCAGCGAATCCAAGGATTTCGTCCCAAGGCTCTATCTCTGCCCGATCTGCACGACGAGGAACCGGTCCCTCCATTCCCGGGAATCTGACTCCCCTGGCCTTATCTTTTATTATATATTTTTTTTACTTCCCGTGTAATGATCTGCCTCCGGGCACTTTTGTAAGACACTTAAATATTATTGCAAGTGTTTTTCTCCTATATTCTCTTCAACTTAAGATTTTTAACCGTTTAGATTAGTAAATACAGCCCGGCCGCATTTACCCGGTTTAAAATACAAATTTTACCCAAGGCTTTTCGAAAGGCTGGGTGGTCGACTGGGAAGACTTTGAGTTTCATTAATTTTCTTCCCGTCGGTTAATAACCTGCAATGGCATATCGAGTATTTGCCTGGGCGCCTTTTCACAATCGCTTAAAGCCCTTGTGAAAAGGTAAACCTCGACTTGCCCTTTCAGAGCGTCTGACTTAAACTGTCCGGGATTCTCTCCCTTTAGTCAAGCCAAATCGTTTTAACTCCCGTGTTAGTACGGATGAGGTGTAGGATCGGTCAGACCGGTCTCTCTTTTTCTTTTTTTTGAGATGCCAATTCGATTGGACATCTAACCGGGTATATTCGTATGTCGACCAATTACCGGTTGATGTATGAGGACAATCTTTCTGAAAAGAACAAAGTTTTATTAACACCTAGGGAACTCATTACATTTTATCTAAAGAATTTACGTAAGTGATGAGAGTTCCAATGTCGGGTGACCCGGCCACCTTCCATAGTCTCTAGTTGGTAAGTGCCCGGCCGGATGATCGCCTTTATGCGATAGGGTCCTTCCCAATTTCGCACCAACTTGCCTCTCTCGTTAGGTTTACTAGCATCCCGTCTGCGCAAGACCTCATCATGCACTTGGAAGTACCGTGGGCCCACCCGGTTGTCGTGATATCTCTTTACCGATTGCTGGTAACCGGCCATCTTGACAGCTGCTAGGGTCCTTCGTTCTTCCACCAAATTTAACTCAGCTAGGTGGTCGACCTCGTTCTGACCGGGCTGGTACACGGTTTCTCTAAATGTTGGAATTTCTGCTTCAACTGGCAACCGGGCTTCACATCCGTAAGTGAGCACAAATGGAGTTTCTCCGGTTGCCCTTCTTGAAGTCACTCTATGCGCCCAGACCGTGTGAGGCAAAGCTTCCAACCATTTATGGCCTTCTTCACCCAACCTCTTCTTTAGGCCGTCCACTATCGTCCGGTTAGCATTTTCAACTTGGCCATTTCCCTGTGGATAAGCTACTGAGGCCTTGCTGTGCTTGATTCCAAAACTAGCCAAGTACTCAGTGAACCGGGGGTTACGAAACTGCGGACCATTGTCGGTAACAATCATCTTCGGGGCACCAAACCGGGTGATAATGTTTTTCCAAACAAATTTCTCACACTGCCGCACGGTTATGGTAGCCAT